AACAAACATCTAGTGTATGCTGGTGTCAAAGAAATGTCTTTTGAAGAACTTCGTGGAGCAGTATATAAGCAAAAATCAGCCCAGAAAGCTATAACAGGTATGTCCTAAAATATGGCTATGACTTATTCTTACAACACATTCTAAAACACACATCGTTCAAACTACCAGTAATACATTCTTAGTATTATCTGTACATCCCTCAGATCTAAATGTGATCATTTTGTAACCAATAGATGTCATGATTTCAACATTTTACAACCATAAAATAATGGAATTAACCTTCTCACCACCAGATTTTTGCACCCAAATTTTTTTTGCACCTTTTTCTTGTATTCTTTAAAATTTCTGGAACCTTAATTTTGTAGCCAACAGACAAAATTTGGCGATTGTCATGGAACGTTCTTGTTCTGTTAGTTTTTGCTGCTGACAAAGTCAAGCAGATCTATTGATTGACTACTCATTAGCAACAACTTTACATTTTCAACTTCTTTTCAACCTTCTCTGGGTCATTCTAGGCCAGATAAGTTATTTTTGTGAATGTTTTTGTTATTGGTGAGATACATTTAGTTAGAACCTCTTCCAGATTGGATCATTGAAAGTGTTCAATGCATTTCAGTACAGTGACTTTTGACATATTCTTATTACAGAGCAAGAAGATCGTTTAAGAAAACAGCAAGAGCAGTTTTCATTAGAGAGAGAGAGGTTTTTAGATGAACAGAGAAAATTAATGGAAGAAAACAAACGATACTTTGAAGAACAGCGACAACAATTTGAAGAATTAAAGAACAATGTAGTCATGAAGAGTAATGTAGAAATCAAAAGGGAGATGTCTGAAAGGTATAGTAAGACATAATTGATTGTATATATACCAACTATCAGATGGCACTCTCATGGTCAGCATTTCTTTTTTATGATACAAGAGATTGTCATCTGAATTTGGTATGTCTCATTATGGGAATAATACCATAATTTGATTTTTAAGTTTGCAAATTAATAGCATACAAATGAAATTGTTTTTGTACATGAAATTAAAAGTATAATTTTTGGTTGATTCAATAAATAGTGATTGATTTTTTTCAAATTAAACAGAAATTTGCTTTGCAGTGTGTATGTAAATCTGCAAAAATAATGCACTGATACCTAAGTTACGAGTATGCCCAGAACTGCAATTAAAACAAACTAGAGGTACACTGTGATTAATTCAATAAATGTGACACAAAAAGATGTAACATCACTTTAATGATTGCATTATTGGACATATTCAAGTACTCTTCTATAAAATCCTTCAATAATTGTGCCGATCCGATGTAGACTTATGTCTTGTGTGTTTATATACTTGCAGGGTACAGGAAGAGGAATGTGTTCAAAGCAGACAGGTTACTGTGCTAGCAGCAAAACAAAGTCTGAAATTTGCTAATGAACCAGTCAGTTCCCAAACCAATAATGTACAAATGTGAGTTCTCCTTAAGTAGCTTTTTCTAAATTATATTGGCTGATTTGTTTCTCGTTTATTTGCATGTTAGTGTATAGCAGGAGACAAAGAATGTATATGTATACATGTATTGGTTACATGCTTTGAACATACAGATTTCAATCAAACTTGTTACAGGTATCACACATGTGGGTTACTGTGACACGTGGCTATAGGGAGTCATTGGTGCTGGATATCACACATTGAGGGTTACTGTGACACATTACTATAGGGAGCCATTGGTGCTGGATATCACACATTGAGGGTTACTGTGACACATTACTATAGGGAGTCATTGGTGCTGGATATCACACATTGAGGGTTACTGTGACACATTACTATAGGGAGTCATTGGTACTGTATATCACACATTGAGGGTTACTGTGACACATTACTATAGGGAGTCATTGGTGCTGGATATCACACATTGAGGGTTACTGTGACACATTACTACAGGGAGTCATTGGTGCTGGATATCACACATTGAGGGTTACTGTGACACATTACTATAGGGAGCCATTGTGCTGGATATCACACATTGAGGGTTACTGTGACACATTACTATAGGGAGTCATTGGTGCTGGATATCACACATTGAGGGTTACTGTGACACATTACTATAGGGAGCCATTGGTGCTGGATATCACACATTGAGGGTTACTGTGACACATTACTATAGGGAGCCATTGGTGATGGATATCACACATTGAGGGTTACTGTTACACATTACTATAGGGAGCCATTGGTGCTGGATATCACACATTGAGGGTTACTGTGACACATTACTATAGGGAGTCATTGGTGCTGGATATCACACATTGAGGGTTACTGTGACACATTACTATAGGGAGCCATTGTGCTGGATATCACACATGTGGGTTACTGTTGCACATTGCTATACAGGGTTCCCAGCCCATCAGGAAAAAAATATTTTACTTTTTTTCAGTCAGGGAAAAGTCAGGGAATTTGATAAAAATGCCTAAGATCAGAGGAAAATAAAAGAATTTTGATTTTCCTGAAACTCAAAAGTGGTCAGTCCAACTGTTATTTTGTTGTATATATCAAAACAACATCCATTGATTGACTGGCTATAGTGTTTCGTTTTTTAAATAGGCTAGATAACAAGTAGCTATAGCAGCTTTTAGCCTCAGTGGCAGTTGAGATGGGACAAATAATCCCCTTTCTCTTGTTCAAGGGGCAACAGTGAAATTGTTCAACTTGATTGTTGGGAGTGGCCTTGATCAGTATTGATTATTTGATCAGCATGCTTTAGGCTAAAATAAAAAAAAATACTCTGTCTCAAAGCTTGTGAAATTTTTTGAAACTGATTTTTATTTTTATTTTTCTTCACTTCAATTGGCCTTTATCTCCATGAATATCCAAAACCAAAAATGACTGAAATGTTGATACTTGTATATTTTTAGGAATCTAGTAGAATAACACCTGTGTTTTACCCCCATTTCTTCCAAAACAGCAAACTTTCTTCTTTTTTGTAGTAAAAAAATGAGAAAAAATAATAACATGAAACAAATGAAATTCTGACCTTCGACAATCAAATGTCCACAGCAAAACAAATGCGTGCGGCAGCTTTGAGACACAGATTTTTTTATTTGGCCATATTATAGACTTTTTAGTCTGGCTTGAGTATTTTGGTCTTACCTATGTCAAGGAAACCCTCAGGAAGCCAAAACGACAGCTACCAACAGTTGCATCATAACTGATTTAATTCCAGAAATCAGGGCAAGCCCTTCTCCCAAAGACCTGGAGACGTACCCCACTTGAGACCTGGAGACGTACCCAACTCGAGACCTGGAGACGTACCCAACTCGAGACCTGGAGACGTACCCCAATCAAGACCTGGAGACGTACCCAACTCGAGACCTGGAGACGTACCCCAATCAAGACCTGGAGACGTACCCCAATCAAGACCTGGAGACGTACCCCAATCAAGACCTGGAGACGTACCCCAATCAAGACCTGGAGACGTACCCCAATCAAGACCTGGAGACGTACCCCAATCAAGACCTGGAGACGTACCCCAATCAAGACCTGGAGACGTACCCCAATCAAGACCTGGAGACGTACCCCAATCAAGACCTGGAGACGTACCCCCATCGAGACCTGGAGACGTACCCCCATCGAGACCTGGATACATACACCACTCAAGACCTGTATCCTATCAAGGCGATATTGGAAATGTTATTCAGCCTATGGAGCTTGGTTCACAATCAATCAACTCAAATGCATCAAATGGTATTATACCACTTGGTACAGTGAGAGACAGAGTGCAAATTCAACCACAAAATAGGTAAATCAATATTAGAATTAATAACCAGATATTTAGCAGTGAAACCAAATAGATTTAGCCATCTATAAAAAAAAAAAGAAAAACTTGTATCTGTTCAAATGTGCTTGCTGTGGACACTTTTCCATGTGTTGTGGTCTTTTGAATTTGGAAAATGTGCATCATGTCAAGTCTCATTCCAACACAATTACTTTATTAGTCTGATCTATAAGTCTGACTTGCCTTAACAATCATTCAAAACTTCATGCATCATATCATACATGTGAAATCTTTTTGTGATGGCTGACTGGTAAAAAATCATCAAAATCAAGTGTTTCTGCCATTTAGGAAGCTGATCTTATTTGGGCCATTTTGTTACAATGACTTCCTGTGCATAGGCACATTTGTCAAGTTTGGACTGATCCAAGTTTTACAGATACAACATGTCACTTTGCATGCATTTTATTGCTAAAATTTATCCACAATTTCTGCCAT